AGTTCTTTTTCTTCAGGGATGTAACTACAGGTAAACTGCCATTGTTCCTTAAATAACCCCACAACAAGCATATGCAAGCAACCCTAATTAAACATAGTGATTGTATTTTTAAAAGCCTTGGTTTTATTAACATAAGGAAAAGTGTGATGCCCAAGACTCTGAGCTGAAGATCAATGCTTCACGAAGGTGTCTAGACTTTCCACCTCCAGAACCAAGGTCCCAAACAAGTCTCTTTTCTTATAAATGAGACCACTTCCAATATTTGAGTGAGTATTGTATCTTTCCTGGTTAAAGCTGTGACTCCTCCTGTCCTTACTGCACAAATTTTATCCATACAGGTTTTCTCTTCTCCAGCTGTGCTGCACCAGCATGGGTGCCTTTCTTGCATCTTTTTCATTTGATTCATAATGTCAGGACTTTTTGGTTGGGCTTTTGTTCTATTTTTCATACTTCTTCTCCTTAAGACCTTAGTACAGGGTCTGGAACTTGTTAGGAAACCCTAGAGGTAATGTTGATTGACTACAATCAAGGTTGCCATTCTACACTGATCCTGTATAGAGTGCATAGACCCTGGACTACATGTGATTTAGACTTCTGTCGTGGTTATTTTCTCTATAATCCATACTGCCTGAAAGGTCATGGAAGTCCACAGAAGTTCAGTTCACCAGCTCTTCAGAGACCACCAGTCATTTCTCCATACACTACAATATTGCAATATTGACTTTGGCTTTCCACTAACCTTTCCTCAGCTGGAGGCAGGACAGTCCTTTGGTCATTCTCAGTACAGAATAAGTTCACTGACAAAGGCTCAGCTCAAAGTGTCTTCTGATGCATGGGAAACTTAAAGGGCAGAAATCATTGTAAGACAGCAAGCAAGGAAAGCATGCACATTGGGAGGGAGAGGTTTAATTCAAACCTATTGAATACCCTCTCTTCATACCTTTCGTTCATTGACCACATGGGAAAGATGTTCAGTCCCAAAAGATCTTAACAGTTGTTAATAAGACATAAATATATTTGTTTAGTATTTCCAAGACCTTGCCTTACAGGTATCCAGGCTAAACAGATATTTCCCTTGTTGCTCTTGCCCTCTTGTTCCAGTTTGCTGATAATTTTAGCATCTACACTTAGATTTTATGGGTCATTGGGGGCTCCTCATTCTTCTCTTTCCCAGTTATTCTCTTGATTCAATGTGCATTACCTATTATATTCAAGTGTCTGTATTCACTCAGTATCAACCCTCATCTTTCATCCTCACCTGGTCATTCAAGTCTCCATGGATCCCAAAATAACACTCAGCATTCAACAAGTAGGGTCTCCAATGTGTACTGTAAATTCCAGCATAAACAAATCTAGAGAGCTATGCTCACATCTGAATCCACCAGGAATGGCCAGGGATGTATATTACACAACATGGAAATCTATCTTCTAGTATCTTCTCCAAGTTTTTTCTTGAATATCTTATGGTTTTCCTAGAAGGTGTCTTTCGCCTCCTGATTAGGTGTATTCCTAGGTTCTTAAAAAGTGGTTGTGACAGCTCCAGCATTTATGCTTTTATTTTTCTCCATCAAGCATAATATTGGATATACATTTGTTATATATTTACCTTTACTATGTTCAAGTATATTCTTTCTACTTCTAGTTTCATCAAGAATTTTTTAATGGAGGGATGTGGGACTGCACCAAAGGCCTCTGCAGTCTCAAGCAGAGAGAAGTGCTGGATGTATCACAATAAATAATTTCAAATTGTGCTTCAGATAAATGGTAAGCAAAAACCCATGGTACTGATTTTAAAAAATAACAGACATCTATGCCACCTTCTCTTATACAATGAACCCCAACATACATTAGAGAATATACATTCTCATTCACAAATGGAGCTTTAAAATTGTATATTTACAAATAGAAGGATGAAATTAGATTCCTATATCTCAGTCGATGCAAAAATTAATTCAATATGGGTCAAAGACCAAATTATAAGACCTGAAATGTCTGGAGGAAAACAGAGCAAAAACACTTCAAGGTATATATGCAGGCAAAGGCTTTCTGAAAAGAAGCCAAATCACTCCAGGAACTGACAAATTGGAGTATATACAACTAGAAAGCTATGCATGGCAAAGGAAATAATCACCAATTGTACACACAGTCAACAGAACAGGAGAAAAGTCCTTGTTACCCATACGTCTGACTGGGGGTTAATGTGTAGTATCAATAAGAACTCAAAAAGTACATACAACCAAGAGAGAATCAAGAAATGAAAGTATCAAGTAAATAGTTCTAAAATGATGAAAAACAAATGGCCAGTAAATATATGAAAATTGTTCAACATCCTTAGCCATCAGAGAAATTCAAATAAAGACTATATTCATCCTATCCTGATCAGAATAGCTATCCTTAAAACAAAGTAGCAATTCTGGTTAGGATGCATGAAAAAGAGCCTTATACATTACTGGTGGGAATGTAAATTAATACAGTAACTATGGAAATCATTATGGCAGTTCCTCCAAAATCTAAAAATAGCCTTATCATAATGATCCAATTATACCACTTTTGAGAATGTACCCAAAGGAATCTTAAATCAGCAGGCCACAGAAACACCAGCATACTTCATATTTATTCACTACAGGTATATCCTGCATATCCATGATCATGGTGGCACTATTAAGAGTAGCTCTTGAGAATTTCCCTAGCACCAGGTTTCTCCCTAATCCCATAATGGCTCCCACTATCAACATATCTCTTTTCCCTCTCTCTGTCCCTCTCCCAACGCAGTCTTCTTAATCTCTCATGTTCCCATTACCCATCCTCTCCCTCTTACACCCCTCCCAGTTTACCCAGGAGATCTTAAATATTTTCCCTTCCTGGGGCCCTTTATGTCTGTCCCTCTTATGGTCCCCATTCTTAACCTAGCTTCTCTGGGGTTGTGGATTGTAGCCTGGTTATCCTTTGCTTTGCATCTAATATCCAGTTATGAGTAAATACATATCATGTTTATCTTTCTGGGTGAGTCTGGGTTACCTCACTCAGGATGGTTTTCTTCTAGTCCCATCCATTTGCCTGAAAATTTCATGATATCATTGTTTTACATTGTTTACTTCATTGTGTAAATGTACCACATTTTCTTTATCCATTCTTCAACTGATGGGTATCTAGGTTGTTTCCAGGTTCTGGCTATTACAAATAATGATGCTACAAGGATGACCCCTGCTAAGACTCCTATCAATAGTGGAGAGGGTGTCTGAATGGGCCTTCGCCTTTAATCAGATTAGTGTCTACCCTAATTGTCATCATAGAACCTACATCCAGTAACCAATGGAAGCAGATGCAGTGACCCACAGCTAAGCACTGGGCTGAGTGAAAACCATGATGGTGAAAACCACAGAGCCAGCTGACCCGAGCTAGTGAGAGCTTGTGGACTGTGGACTGACAGCTGGGGAAACTGCATGGGACCAAACTAGATCCTCTGAATGCCGGTAACAGTTATGTGACTTGATTTGTTGTGGGGGGCTAGCAGTGATACCAGGACCTATTCCAGGTGCATGAACTGGTTTTGTGGAAACCACTCCCTATGATGGGATACCTTGTTCAGCCTTGATTGGGGGGGTGTCTTGGTCCTGCCTCAGCTTGATATGCCAGGCTTTGTTGACTCCCCACGGAAGGCCTTACCCCCTCTGAGGAGTGGATGAGGGTGGGAAGGGTGGAAGTTGGGATTGCGGGGGAAGGGAAGGGAGGGAAAACTGGAGTTGGTATGTAAAATGAAAAATACATTTTTTAAATAAAAAGAATAACTCTTATAGCTGGGCACTGGTGGTGCTCACCTTTAATCCCAGCACTTTGGAGGCAGAGGCAGGTAGATCTCTGTGAGTTTGAGGCCAGCCTGGTCTACAAAGTTAGCTCCAGGACAAATAGATCTGTTACATAGAAAAACCCTGTCTTGAAAAACAAATAAACAAAAAGAATAGCTCTTGTAGAGAATCAGCCTAGGGATTTATCAATAGATGAATAGACAAAGAAAGTATAGCATGTATATATAATAAAATATTGCTCGTCCATAAAAATAAATGAAATACACATCACTAGAGCAGCACAGTCAAGCCAACCCTGTTAATGTAGATGTGGTGAGCAAGCTCAGAAGTTGTGAGCATGGGCGAGCTGCCCCCACTTCTCATCTGTCTTGTGGTGGCAATGGGTGAGGGAAAGAGCCCCCTCCCACATCATTGCCTGAGGCAAGTTGGAGAGCTGAGCCTGTCCCCCAGCAGCTGCAACACTTGGAAGAGCAAGCCCTGCTCCTCAGCTGGGTAAACCAAGAGAGCCAATCTTGTTGACAGATATGTGTGGGGCCAGCCCTGAAGTTGTAAGTTTGGGCGAGCTGCCCCCACTGCTTGGCTGTCATGCGGCAGTGTGAGAAAGGGAGAGATGACCTCCCCATTAATAACTATGAGCTTTAATCTATCAATGCTTCACATGACCCCTCCTTACCTCTCACCCTTACCACGTGAAACAGATGAGAGAGCTGCCCCCCTTATCAGCTGTAGCACTCAGGAAATGGGTCCTTTCCCTCGCCTAGGCAGCACAGCAGAGCTGCCATGGTCGGAGGTGACTGTGACCCAGCCCTAATGTTACAAGAAAAGGAGAGCTGTCCTCACCATGTACCTGATATGTGGTGGCATTGACAGAGAAGAGATGCCATCCCCGCCACCTCCCACCCATTAATGCCTGAGACAGGTGGAGGAGCTAGCCCGGAGGTCATAAGAGCTGGAGTGCTGTCCCTACTCCTAACCAGCTACAGCACTTGGGAGAGTGACCTCTGTACCTCACCTTGGCAACACAGTGGAGCTGTCCCTGATGGTGTAAGAAGGGGAGAGCCAACCCTGAGGGCATGAAAACAGGAGAAGAGGCCCCACCCTTTGCCCAGTGCTGCAAGAGGTGAATTAACTTGGGCAATGCTGGAGAGCTCTCCCTGGTGGTGAGGACAGGGAAGAGCTGGATGGTGAACCAACCTTCCAGCTGCCCAGGGCCAGAACCAGCTGCAGGGCTCCACCTGGAAATTTCGCTGGTGTCCTGTGCTGTGGAGATACTGCAGCTTTGGGTCAGCAGGTCAGGTACCTTCACATGCTCCCGCAGATCACAGATGGGGTGGCTTATGGGGCAGGCCAAGTCATAACCCTGGTTCTGGCCCTGGGCAGGAGAAAAGGAGATGGTATAGTGTGATAAACGTAGTCAAAGTACATGATAGATGTGAATGAAAATATCTTTATGAAATGAGTCATTATGTACAACAAAGAAACATAATTTTAATTGTCAAACAAGTTTCATTTTCCTTAAGACCCACACCCCTACAATGCTCTTGTTTAAGATATATAACTAGAATCAGATCCCAGCATAAACTAAGGATAAGAGTGTAAACATCACACGTGCACATGCACATGTCTTCACACACAAACAGAATTAATATTTTACTAGCTTGTATCGGCAAGTGCTTACAGATAATTCATGGAAACATAATCAAGACAAACTAGAATAATGATGGAGAAAGAGAATTGTGGTCCCAGACTAATTTGTACATATGGATACTCTAACCAGGAGTTCTGATTCAATGCATTAGATAAAGCATCTGGGGATGATTCTGACAGATTGCAAGGCTTGTTACCTGGAATCCACACTAAGTGAAAGACCACTTAAGTGAATGCTAAGACTTCTTGGAGATACCTCCTAGAGAAAACAAAGGAATGACTATGGAAATTTGAATGTTGGAGTGTTTATCATGTGTCAGCTAGTCAACATAATCAAAATGCATCTCCCAAAAGACATGCAGGAATGTTGATTACTAAGGTGTCTTAAAATATATTGGTCAGGAATACCAGCATCACTAACAAAGCTCTATGTCTATCCTCATTGGTACTAGTGGATACCATGACTGTGAGTATTTTGCTGTAGTTGCGATATGGGGATATTATGGTGTTTCTCAGATTTCAGCATATGTCCAAATAATGTGAATGGTTAGTTTAATCACAAAAAGCTGAGCCTTATTCTCACAGCTCCTGACTCAGTAGGTCTGGGTGGAATCTGAAATTTTGCATTTCTTAGGTGATGATCATGAGGTGGCTCAACATATCAAAAGAAGGGAGTAAAAGCAGGTAATTCCACTACAGACATGGGAGAGCTATGGTCACCAGAACGTTTGTTAATGGCCAGTCCTGGTGTCCTTATATCTGAAATAGCTTAGCAAACTACTAAAACCTTAATTTGTCTGCTCAATAAACAAATGGCAATAAGCAGAAAGCAAGGATTGGAGGTTAGGTCCTGTGACAGTACAGTGGATATTACTCTCCCATACTTCCCTAGGTGTTCCCACTTCACAGACATGGAAGAAGCCTGGTACAGTTTCACACTGCAAACCACTCTTCCTATCTTCTACTAGAATCTGCAAATAAACTGATGGCACTCGGGCTTTTCAGAGATTGCTGGGCATGGATGCTGACCTGAGACTCGTCCCTGAAGACTCAAAACAGCACAGTACCTTAAGAGTCAGAGTGGAGACAGGTGACACATAGAGCTTCTGTCTTAGTCCATTTCACTGTTGGCCAGTATCCATAAAGCAATCCAGCTACTGAACACAAAATACTTCCTTTCATTTCTCACCATGTGAAGCTCTGATAGATTAAAGCTCAAGGTTATTAATGGAGAAAGTTTTCTACCAGATACACTAAAAGTGGAAATTCTCTGTTGGCACATGAAAATAAATTAGCAAGCAAAAAAGGAGGACTAGCTCTAGATAGCATAGGTTACCGGAGCTTATCTATAGGAAATAGGGTTGTTGTTACCTGATAGTATCGAGGAAGAGCATCTGAAAGTGTGTGTGTGTGTGTGTGTGTGTGTGTGTGTGTGTATGTATGTGTGTGTGGTGCTGAAGGTTATACAGTTATAAATATATATATAAATAAGCAATGAAAAATTTTATGTACAGTATAAAAGTCTTTTATATTAATTAAAATAAAGGAAATTAAGACACATTTCATAGGGCCTGGAGAAATGGCTCAGTGGTGAAGAAGAGCACTTGATGCTCTCCCAGAGCACATAAATTCAGTTCCCAGCACCCACACTGGGCAACTCACAACTGTCTGTAGCTCGAGCTAACACACACACACACACACACACACACACACACAAACAGAGAGAGAGAGAGAGAGAGAGAGAGAGAGAGAGAGAGAGAGAGAGAGAGAATCAGCACTGACGATAATAAATCTTTTAAAAATGACACACATTTCACATAACCTAAATCCTAAGGGATCAGCACATGGAAAACTGAATGAAACAGCTCAAAAAGAATAAAAATAATTCTAGGTGAAACCACAAATTTCCAGAAAGAAATGAAAGGCATAAGAAAACAGATTATAAACACAAACAAAAGCAGAGAGATCTGAATGAGTATTGACTGTAATAAACAGTAATGATGATGTCATATTACAAGGTTTAAAAATAAACCTGCGATTAGGAAACAAGAGAAAAATTAAAACAAAACACAGAGTTTTGTAAAGAATTCAAAGGCTGTTAATATAGTTGGCATCTGTAAAATCTCTTATGCTAGGTTTTAAAGAATTTAAAATGTCTTCTGAATATCTGAACTAAATTTTTAAACTGTGAACTAATATAAAATTATTAAACATAAATAAAATCTTTGTTTTATTACAAGGAAGAAAAAAGTGAACATAGATTCTGGTGTGACCAACAGAAAGAAAAAACAGTTAAAATGATAGTTATAAATCTAAACAATAAAAAAACTAAATACCCCTAGTGAAAGATAAATATTGATAGATTAAACATCAACTACTCGATGGTTCCTACAAAATAGATTTCCAAATTATAAGCACAAAGAAAGAATGTTAACCAAAAATAAAACGTGCTGTAAAAATATTTAAAGGAAAATTGCCATCACCTCCAATTACCAAAAAGGAGAAACTTCAGTACCAACATATTTCATGTATAATATAGTGCATTTTGTGAATGAACACAGAGCCAATAATGAGTAAAATAAAAAGCAACCATGTCCCTAATAGTATAAGGCATAATATACAACTCAGGAATTGCCTACCCTACAAGGAAAAAGAAACACAAGTATATAATTACAGTGTGAGTTCAATACACTTTTCTCTATAACTGATAGAGTAAGTAGAAATGGTTAGAACTGAGACTATTTAAGTCAAATGTTTAACACATATTACTAAATTTACATTATAGTTCAAACAATAAAATGGATCCTTATTTTTAAACTAATATAAAAGCGTACAAAGCAAGTCACATGCTGACCTATAAAGCTTTTCAACAATAACTAGACATTGAAATTGAATGAAGTATGTTCCTTGCCTGCAAAGAAACAAGCCAGAAATTAGTAACCAAAAGATAATGAAAATCTCAAATATTCATGAATTCACCAGATTTTTCAACATGGTACAAAAGACAAATAAAACATTTGAATAGATATTCAAGAATATTTGACATTATCTGTGGCATATCAAAATTGATAGGATTCACTTAATGCTATGAATACAGGATTACGTTTAGCATTAAGTGCACAGAAGAGAAAGGACAAGATGCCAAGAAGCAAGGATCTAAACATCCATCTCATGAAGTTAGAGAAAGATGAACAAATTAAGCTCAAACAAAGTGGAAAAAGTATTGACGATAAGGACAGAAATGAAGAAAGATGGAAGTAAATGTAGAGTAGAGAAAAACTGAGAAAGTCAAAGTTCAAAGCAACGTCTTTTTATCTGAATACACCAACAATAAATTAAGTCATTGGGGAAATGATGCATGGTGGAAGCAGGGAATGTCCAAGACATGGAAAAGAAGAATCAAGCATGCACCCGACAGGCATTAAGAAGCGTAAGTGACATCAATGAACAATTTTTGTCAATATATTTAAATAGAAAGTATTGTTTCTAAGAAAATTCAAGAAGGAACTAGGAATTTGAACTGGGATAGGAATTTTAATTCATGAAGAGAAACAATAAATAAATAAATAGATGTTGACAATATTTTCTTAAAGAAAACTCTAGGCCCAGATGGTCACAATAATGAATTCTTTCAAACATTTAAAGAATAAATAATAATTATCTTATCAAAATCTTCCAGGAACACTATACACAAATTAATCTCTCTTAAAGGATGGAATTAAAAATTGTATGAACCTAGCAAACTGTGAGAACAATGTATCATAACCTAGACATGTATGACCCAGGAAAGGAGGTAAGGTTAACATGTGAAAAGAAATTAAAATAGTTCACTACATAATAGAATAGATAAGAAAAAACAGGTGATCCTTTAGTATATCAAAACAAACCAACCAATAAATTCAAAGTATATACTCCACTGAAAATGAATACATGTCATACTCAAACCTATGGGACACAATGAAAGCAGTACTAAGAGGAAAGTAAGTAGAACTAAGTGCCTACATAAAAAGAATTGGAGAGATCCCATACTAGCAATCTATCAGTGTACCTGAAAGCTCTAGAACAAAAGGAAGTTAGGCACACCCAAGAAGAGTAGACAGCAAGAAATAATCAAAGCGTGGCTGAAATTAATAAAATAGAAACAAAGAGAACAATACAAAGAATCAAAGGAACAATGAGTCAGTTCTTTGAGAAAATCAGCAAGATAGACAAATCCTTACAAGGACACCGTCGTCAAAAGGACAAAACAGGAGCCTACGGAATTGGAAAAGATCTTTACCATACCCAATAGAGAGCTAATATCTAAAATATATAAAGAACTCAAAATGATAGATATCAAGGAAACAAATACCCAATAAAAATGGGGTATAAATCTAAACAGAAAATCCTCAATATAGGAACTGCAAACACTGAAGAGAAACCCTTAAGAAATGTTTAATACCCTTAGCTATGAGGGAAATGCAAATCAAAATGACTTTGAGATTTCATCTTACACTTGTCAGAAGGACTAAGATAAATAATACAAGTGACAAGTCATTCTAGTGAGAATGTGGTGTAAGAACATTTATCCATTACTGGTGGAAGTGGAAGCTTGTATAGACACTGGAAATTAGTGTGTCAGTTCCTCAGGAAGATGAGAATAACTACCTCAAGATCCAGATTTACCACTCTTAGACATATACCCAAAGGATGCTCCATCCTACCTCAGAGTCACTTGTTCAACCATTTTCATTGTGGCTTTGTTCATAGTAGCCAGAAACTGGAAACAATCGAGATGCTGTTCATTTACACAATGCAACGTTACTCTGCTGTCAAAAAAAATGAAAACATGAAATTCACAGGTAAATGGAAGCAACTAGAAAAAAACATCCTGTGTGAGATCCAGAAATACAAATATGCTATATATTTGCTTATGTGTATATATTATCTGTTAAATCGATGCTAACCAACAATCCATAGAACCACAGAGGTTAAGTATAGAGTATAGATCTCCCTAGGAAATGGAAATAGAAAAGGTAGGCCTTTTGTTGGAGGACTGGAATGGGAGGATCAAATGGAGAGGGGAGGGAAGAGGAGGCAGGGAGAGAATAGAGGGAGAGACAGCTAAAACTAAGGACACTGAGGGGCAGTGTAGAAGCAGGACTGATGCACATATGAACTCACAGAGACATAGTAGCACACACAGATCTGCATAGGTTCAAGTCTAACAGGGTCCCAGCACTGAAAGGGATAACTGGATATGGAGACCCACTCCGAACCAAGAAGCTATCTGCAATTGGCACTTGCTAGCAAAGGAAACGTGAGTTTCCCCCCACTGGAGTCTCACTGGGTAGTATATCAACCATACCTCAGGGCATACCCCACACCCAGGGGTAATTGGTCAACACAAAATGGGCTCAATGGGTATGGTTGTGGAGTTGCTAAGTTTGGACATTTTGTGTGTCTGTGGGCTGTCGTTTCTTGGGTTCTTTTGTTTTGATTTAGTTTGGGGTTAGGGATTTTAGTTGTTTTATGTTTGGGAGATTGTTTTTGTTGCTATCATTTGATTTTTTGAGACAAGATCTCTCTTTTTTATTTTATTTTTTAAACACTTTTAATTATATATTTAAATTAGAAACAAGCTTACTTCCCATGTCAGTCCCAACTCTCTCTCCCTCCCCTCCACGCCCACTCCCTGCCACCAGCCCCTCCAGTCCCCTACCCAATCCCCACTCCATTCCCCGGGGAGGGTAAGGCCTTCCATGGGGAATCTCTAGAGTTTGTCATTTCATTCCAGGAAAGGCCCAGGCCCTCCCCAAAGTGTCCAGATTAAGAGACCATTCCTCATTGTGGGATGGGCACAGGGAATCTCTTTTTAGTCCTAGATGTCCTATAACTTTCTATTTAGTTCAAAATGGTCTTGAACTCACAAAGATCTGCCTGCCTCTACCTCCCAAGTACTAAAGATGCAAACACCACATCCTGCTTCCTGGTTCTGTTTTTTGTTTTTTTCATGTTTGTTTTTTAGAGAGAGCCAGAGAGGACATAAAGTTAGATACAGAAATGGGGAGGATCTGGGAGGAATTCAGGGAGGGGAAATATATAATCAAAATATATTGAATGAAAAAAGATTCAAACAAAATATTTAGAAAGCTTTTTGCTCCCTCATGTCTTCCTCTCCACTCATCTTCTCCCCTTCTCTTTCTCCTAGCTCTCTCTCCCTTTCCCCCATGCTCCCAATTTGCTCAGGAGATCTTATCCCTGGAACCATGTATGTCTCTCATTGTTTCCTAGCTTCTCTGGTGGTATAGACTGTAGGTTGGTAATCCTTTGCTCTATGTCTAAAATCCATATATGACTGAGTACTTACCATGCTTGTATTTTGTGACTGGGTTATCTCACTCAGTATGGTTTCTTCTAGTGTCATCCATTTGCCTGCAAATTTCAAGATTCCATTGTTTTCTTTTCCACTGAGTAGTACTCCATTGTGTAAATGTACCACGTTTTCTGTATCCATTCTTCAGTTGAATGGCATCTAGGTTGCTTCCAGGTTCTGGCTATTACAAATAATGCTGCTATGAACTCAGTTGAACTAATGTCCTTGTTGCATGTATGTGCTCTTTTGGGTATATGCCTAAAAGTGGAATTGCTAGATCTTGGGATATACTAATTCCCATTTTCCTGAGGAACCACCACACTGATTTCCAAAGTGGCTGTACAAGTTGGCACTCTCACCAGCAGTGGAGTATTCCCCTTTCTTCACATCCTCTCCAGCATAAACTGTCATTGTTGTTTTTTATTTTAGCCATTCTAACAGGAGTAAGATGGTATCTCAGAGTTGTTTTGACTTGCATTTGGAGGGGAGAGAAGGACATGAGGGAGCAGAAAGATTGAGTCAGGGGAAGAACAGAGAAGAGCAAGAAAAGAGATACCATAATAGAGAGAACCATTATAGGTTTAAAGAGAAATATGGCACTAGGGAAATATCCAGAGAGCTACCAGGATGACCCCAACTAACAATCTAAGCAATAGTGGAGAGACTACCTTAAATGTCCTTCCCCAGTAATGAGATTGATGATTACCTTATATGCCATCCTAGAGCCCTCATCCAGTAGCTGATGGAAGCAGAAGCAGACTCGCACAGCTAAACACTGAACTGAATGAACTTCTGAAGTCCAGTTGCAGAAAGCAAGGATTGATGAACAAAGACGTCAAAACCAGGTTGGTGAAACCCACAGAATCAGCTGACCTGACAAAGGGGGAGTTCATGGACCCCAGACTGATAGCTGGGAAACCATCATAGGACTGTTCCAGACCCCATTACCGTGGGTGTCAGTGAGGAGGCCTCAGCAATCTATGGGGCCTCTGGTAGTAGATCATTATTTAACCTTAGCATACGAATGGACTTTGGGAGACCATTCTACACAGAGGGATGCTCTCTCAGCCTAGACACATGGGGGAGGGCCTAGACCCTGCCCAAAATGATATGACAGACTTTGAAGATCCCCCATGGAAGGCCTCCCCCTCCCTGGGGAGCAGAAAGGAGATGGGATAGGGGGCTAGTAGGGGGCAGGGGAGGAGGGGAGGAAGAGGAAATTGGGATTGATATGTAAAACATGCTTGTTTTCTAATTTAAATAAAAGTAAAAAATTTTAAAAATTATTTATAAAGACAAGGTAATTGAAATGTTAATGCTACAAGTAAGGTGGAGTGTCAGATTGTTAAGAAACAGACCCTGAATATGACCACCTAACTCTTAACACAAATGCTATTCTATGCCAAAGTGAGAAATGGCAATAGCGACTACATTACAGCGAGTTCTAATATCAGGGAGCAACCAAGGGCCCCATCCATCGATCAGAGCTTGCAGACAGAGCCGCTGAACTTACACAGCATCAGGTGGAGACAACATGCTGATGGGACCAACTAGGTTTTGACCTACATCACTGTCAGTCACAGTATGAGCCTTACACTCCCTCATCCTTAATACTTCTCAGGTCCCTATGGCTATGAAATTCAAGCAGACAGTAGGTTAGTGTCAGCCTTGGTTTGTAATCTTCAACACCTCTGCTCCAACCCCAGATGAAACATCACCACTATTCACAGTCAGAACCTGAGGAACTTCTCAGCTACTAGGCACAGTAGTGTATTCTTACAAGATAGATCCACGTGTGGCCCCCCATTAGCATGAACTGTGGTGGGGTCCCAAGTGCTTCTTAGAAGCCATACAGGCTGTAAGACACAGGTACAACCAAATTTAGTATCAGCCTTGATAACCAAGGGTCCTCTCACCAGCACTGCCCACGTTTTATGTAACACATCTTGAATCAATGCTCTATTCATTGATATAGAATAAGGGAGTAAGAACAAGCCTTTGCCTTGGAACTCAGTGTTGGACTGGTAAAGTCTAACAATAGACAGATCGTAAAGATCCATTTCCCTAAGCCAGTGTCTATGGATGGAGCCCTCAAGTGCGGAGACCCAGGGTATCATACTTCTGCGTTTGCCAGCAGCATCATTAGATGATAGCAGCAGTCTTAGGCTATGAAACCAACTCAACAGTAGGAAGCCCAGACGAGAATGGACCTTTGTTCTACTCTAGCACTGTAGGGGTGTCAGTAGACTAGATTTGGGCTATGACACAATGATCTATAGTCAGTGGTCATGGGTGATATGCATGAGACTGAGTCTAGTCACATCGCAGTTATTTTGCCTACAGTGAAGAAGAACTCCACTGAGTTTGACAACAGAATGGTGAGTGAGTGCCATTTCTAGGGCTACTTCATTCCCCGAGAAAGTCTTTGTAGATACTTTCTAGTACATACAAAACAGTTTATCAACCAGTTCCCTTCAACTGAATCTGTAACAATCCAACAACAGCAGACTCCCAGCAAACGGGTCCTAGTGCCAACCAGTGACCGAACGATACACATGACTGCAAGTTCATAGAACGTAATATCCTTGCTTAGAAATTCTGGAAAGAGAAGAGAAAATAAAGCCAATAGCAGAATCTGGGACAAACGCCCAGTCCATCAAGAGGCAGGTGATGTTTCACACAAACAAGGCTCTAGAATTTCCAGATCTAGCCGTGGTAGTGTGTGCTGGTAAGAAATACTGAAGAGGCAGAGGTGAGAGGAAAACTCAAGCGGAGTGCATTTTTAGCCCAGTTACTACAGGCTATGTCTGTAACCTCAACACTAGTAGGCATGGAGAGGAAGGGATAGGTAGATGCCCAAAACTTGTTGGCAGCCTAGCCAAATTAAGGAGCTCAAGGTTCTAGGAGAGATCCTGTCTCAAAACATAAAGAATTCTGGATACAGGACACAGAAAATTCAAGTTGGACCTTAGCTTGAATTGTCCTTCCTTTTGGCTAGCAGTCATGGGTTTTTTTAATGATTTAAAAAAGCATACATGGTCCCCTGGAGAAGGGAAAAGGGACAAGAATTCCTGAGCTAATTGAGAGCATGGGGGAGGGGATAGGGAGTTAGAAGAAAGAGAAGGGGAAAATAGGAGGGGAGAGGAGGACATGAAGGAACAGGAAGATTGAGTCAGGGGAAGAATAGAGGAGAGCAAGAAAAGAGATACCATAATAGAGGGAGTCATTATAGGTTTAAAGAGAAATCTGGCACTAGGGAAGTGTCCAAAGATCTACAAGAATGACCCCAACTAACAATCTAAGCAGTAATGGAGAGGGTACCTTAAATGCCCTTCCCCAATAATGAGATTGATGACCACATTATAAGCCATCCTAGAGCCTTCATCCAGTAGCTGATGGAAGCATAAGCAGACACCCATAGCTAAACACTGAGCTAAACTCCTGGAATCCAGT